TTTTTTTTTTTTGTCTGAAAATGGCAACAAAGCCGTTGAGTTAGTAACAGTGGAGTTACTGGAGTCAACTGCAAACATGAAGATATGATCTGGTGGGCCGGTGTCAGTCCAGCTTCTCTCACTGCACAGCAGAAGAGGACAGTGGCTGACTTTTAGACTTGTGTTGATGTAGATAAGATCGGTGGATAAAATCGGTTTCACATGTAAGTATCGGCTGATCAACAATCTCCCAAAATTAAGGAAATTTGTCCCGATAAATCGGGAAACCCCAAATTTTAATGCTAGAAGGTAAAATTAACCTTGAACAGATTTTCTCTATTTAGTCTTGAGTTTGACCAAGTTATCCATCACTGTGAAGGGCATCCCACAGCATGATGCTGCAACCACCAGGTTCCACTCAGGGTGATATGTCTTCATGCCACTTTTCCTGTTTATGTCCTGCCACAACTGCAGTCTAAAACCAAACAAACCAAATAAGAAGCGTGAAAGTTTGTTAAAACATGACGGAGCCCTGCAGGATTTCCAGTGAATGCTTTTGCCAGGCCTTGTGTCTGACTGTATGCTTGGTAAAAGTGTTCTGTCTCCACGCAGTGCAGAAAGTGTGAGCGCTGCTGCAGCCAAGCCCCCCTCCCTTCCTCTTCATCGCTCGGCGTTACATAACGGTCTCCACTGCAGAGGAAGAGCACTGCAGAGAAACTCTCGGGTCTCCAGCTCCTCAGAGGACATCACGTGTCCACGTTACATGAAGGGCCTGGGGACGCGTCTCCGTCCCCCAAGGCAAGCCGCGTCCCCACAAAGGGCTTCTGAATGCGTTTTTGAGGAAAACTGATGCGCACTCATACATGCTGAGGGAAGAATTTTAAACGGGCTTTTACTAAATGTTCAAAGAGAGCCAGCCGTCAAACCACTTCGGTCCGTTTGTTGGATCCGATTGTGTGGCTTTAAAAAAACTGAATAAACTGGAAAAGGGAAGGAGAAAAAGTAACATGTCAACATGTCAAACTAAAAAAAAACTAACTACAGCATCTGAAAGTCACATGATATAAACTCACCAATCAGAAGATGTGTTCAGTTGAGAACTCTGAGAAGAACAGTCATCAAGTTAACTAAATAACTAGCTTTATAATTTTAGCTCCAAACTGAATATTTAATTAGCAAGATATTTAGTTTAATTAAAAGTCTGAATATTTGGCTTCAAACTAAATATGTAGCTGCTAATTAAATATTTTGTTTCAAAACTAAATATTTAGTATTTGACTAAATAATTAGCTTGCAAACTAAGCCTTTAGTTTTAGATCCTAACTAAATACTCAGCAAGTATTTAAATATTTAGTGAGAAATATTTAGCCTGTAAACTAAATATTTAGTTTTAACTCCCAGACTGAATATTTATCAAACTAAAAATGAAGAATTAAATATTTGACTTTGAGATAAAACTAAACATTTAGTTAAACTAAATATTTAGCTTCAAACTAAATACAAACTGGATTCCAAAAACGGTGGGACACTAAACAAATTGTGAATAAAAACTGAATGCAATGATGTGGAGATGGCGAATGTCAATATTTTATTGATAATAGAACATAGATGGCAGATCAAAAGTTTAATCTGAGTAAATGTAACATTTTAAAGGAAAAATATGTTGATTAAAAATTTCACAGTGTCTACAAATCCCAAAAAAGTTGGGACAAGTAGCAATAAGTGGCTGGAAAAAGGAAATTGAACATATAACAAACAGCTGGGAAACAAATTAACACTAATTAGGTCAATTGACAACATGATTGGGTATAAAAAGAGCTTCTTAGAGTGTCAGTGTCTCTGAAGCCAAGATGGTAAGAGGATCACCAATTCCACCATTGTTGCGCAGAAAGATAGAGCAGCAATACCAGAATGGTGTTACCCAGCGTAAAATAGCAAAGACTTTTAGGTTATCACCATCAACTGTGCATAACATCATCAAAAGATTCAGAGAATCTGGAACAATCGCTGTGCGTAAGGGTCAAGGCCGTAAAACTCTACTGGATGCTCGTGATCTCCGGGCCCTTAAACGTCACTGCACCTCAAACAGGAATGTCAAGGAAATAACAGCCTGGGCTCAGGAATACTTCCAGAAAGCATCGTCAGTGAACACAATCCACCGTGCCATCCGCCGCTGCCAGCTGAAACTCTACAGTGCAAAGAGGAAGCCATTTCTAAGCAGCTCCACAAGCTCAGTTGTTTGCACTGGGCCAGGAGTCATTTAAAATGGAGTGAGGCAAAATGGAGGACTGTTCTGTGGTCAGATGAGTCACGATTTGAAGTTCTTTATGGAAGACTGGGACGCCATGCCATCCGGACCAGAGAGGACAAGGATAACCCAAGTTGTTATCAACGCTCCGTTCAGAAGCCTGCATCACTGATGGTATGGGGTTGCATGAGTGCTTGTGGCCTGGACAGCTTGCATGTCTGGAAAGGCACCGTTAATGCAGAGAACTATGTTCAGGTTCTAGAACAACATATGCTCCCATCTAGACGTCATCTCTTTCAGGGAAGACCCTGCATTTTTCAACAAGATAATGCCAGACCACATTCTGCAGCAATCACAGCATCATGGTAGGAGAAGGATCCAGGTACTGAAATGTCCAGCCTGCAGTCCAGATCTTTCACCTATAGAGAACATTTGGCGTATCATAAAGAGGAAGGTGCGACAAAGAGGCCCAAGACGATTGAACAGTTAGAGGCCTGTATTAGACATGAATGGAGAGCATTCCTATTTCTAAACTTGAGAAACTGGTCTCCTCTGTCCCCAGACATCTGAGTGTTGTAAGAAGAAGGTACTTGGCTTGCTAACTAAATAGTTTGGACCTAAATATCTGTTGTGTAAACTAAATATTTAACTTGATAACTAAATATTTAGCTTGCTAGCTAAATAGAATTAAATCTTTATTTTTAAAGCTAAATATTTTATTTGCTGATTAAATGTTTGGTTTTAATCTGTGGCATTTATAAATAAATGAATAACATCCAGTATGTTATTCATTGCTTATAATAAATGTGACTTTCTCTGTCGTTCAGGCTAATATTTAGTCATAAAAACACCTTTTATTCAATCATAAAATAGGAGATCTGTGTATATATTTTTTGTGAGATTCTAGGCTGAAGCTGAAGGAGAAATATTTTGTCTGACTGACTTCAGTTTCCTGTGGGAGGGGGATCTCCTTTCTGCAGGTTGCTTTGTATACTGTTACCATGGCGATTCCCCCCCCCTTTACCTCACTCACCAGATTCAATGCGTTACGTTCAAAGGTGCTTCACATCTCCATGGCAACGCGCCTGCGTAGGAGTTGCATCAGCGGAGACGGCGGACCGCCGAGGTTCTGCTGTCAGCGTGGGAGGATCCATAACCTGCAGTCTGTCGCGTTCACACCTGGGAGCTGCCCAGTTTGACTCCAGTCTGCTACTGGTGAGCTGCCAGCTGCTCATCCATTTAACGTTCTCACATTTTGACACATTACAAAAGAGAAAAATACATCTGTATACTCAAGGTGTTTATCTGCAACTTTATCGGATTTTACCAACACAAAGTGGTTTATTATAAATGGAAAACATTAAAATTATAATTGTTGGTATCTATTTTAAAAAAAACAGTTATTTCATTTGTCCAGGCCCCCCTTTAAAAAAAAATACATTGTCTTTTTTTGTAAAAACAAAAAGTGATGCAACAGAAGCAGATGGTTTAAAAAAAGTTAACAGCAATAATGTATTTATTCTGTCATAATAGAAAAAAGTGTCCTCGTCTTTCAAACTCATGCTGTCACCATAAATCAATTTGTTGCAACTTGAATAAATTAAATTAAAATGTATGCCTCAATATAAAAAAATGTTTTTTGTAAAAATGTATAAATGTTATGGTTCTAAAACAAACATATTTAGTTACAAGATATTAGAAAATAAAATGTGATAAATGTTGGTGCTGTTCAGTAAATCTAATAAATAAAAATATTTATGTAATAGACTGAAAATTGAAGCAATATAATTTAACATGTTTGGCTCCAAATGATTGTTTCCAAATGAAAATTAAGTTGATTTTAATCTATTGTTTGAGAAATCATAATGCATTTAATATTAAGTTTATTAAGAGTGCTTTAATTCTGCACAATACAAGTCATTTGATGTCTTTCACAAGCTGGATTAATATTTTCTGCAGAGGTAAACCCTCAGCATCTTCTTTCCACTCAAACTAAAACTGGAGGTTGCAGAAATGTTCAGTCTCTGAGAGTGATTGAGATTCGGATCAGAACCGGCCCGCCGGTGGCTATGTAACACTTTAAAATGCAGCTTGACACTTCAGAGCGTCTGGAAACGTCTTCTGCTCTGTGTCAGCAGGAAGTCTTCCCTCTGCTGTCTCGTGTAATGGATTGATTATCGCAGCACAACACCTCCTCCTGCTGTAAAACAGAGACTCATAAATGTATCATCAGCAACAACAACAACAGCAGCGGCAGCTAATGATGTCTGCTGCTTTCTGCTGGTGATTAAATTCTGTTTCATGCTGGGGTTGTCATTATATAACAAAACTAATATGGAAATGGGAAGTATTTAAACGCTGATACTTGATTTCTGGCTAAAAGGTGAAAAGATGTTAGTAGATTTACTCTCATCTAGACTGTAATTTAGTTAGAAAACAGCAGTGTGTGCACTGCTTTCACTGTGTGCACATTTTATGTTTTTAATCTGTTTCCTCAAAATTATAGACGCAACTTTCCCATTATGATCATGTGGAAAATAGCTTAAGGGATTTTTGCAAATTTATAAAAAAAGAAACACCAAAAATTACAATTGCAGAAGTATTCAGCCTTTCCTTAAAGGGATTGTATTATATGTTTTATAGTGCCATTTTATAACACTATCGAGTCACTGCGTTACCTTCAGTTGTTAATATGACTTAAAATAAATTTTACTTCCTGATTTAAAGTCTTGAAATTGGGACTCTTTATTTTGTCTCTTTAAAGGGCAATATTATGTAAAATCAACTGTTTTGAGCTTTACATCATGTTATAATGTTAATCCCTCATTGAAAACATATGCAGTGTTGCCTTGATTATTTTCATGCATGTTTGAGATTCACTTAATCTCGATGGCCACTTCCCCGCTCTTCTCCTTCAGACTAGCCAGCAGCAATTAGCAATCACCTGGTGGAACTGAGCGTCTGCTGAGCTCATATGAGCTACTTCTCAGTATAATGCTGGTAAAAGTAGTCATATTGAGAAACGACAATACAAAAAAATATAAAAATGGTATCTGAAACTAAAATATCAATCTTAGCACTCTAGTACTGATGCTATTGTATCAATATTACCAATATTTTAGGTCGATCCACCTCCTCTAATTTCTTCAGATGACAGATTTTACAAATACAATAAAATGTTTTTATTATATATATTTATTATAGATATGTTATTACTTTTTTATTTTTATTTTTTTCTAAAAACATATTTATAAAAGTCACATACTGCAGCTTTTAGAGTTGAGAATGATGTACAAGAAGTGAAATAGTGTTTCCCCTCCTCTAACAATCTATAGGAGCAGGAGGACTCTTAGCGGTCTGCTGCTCTGTCTCAATAGGTATCCTAAATGTAATTACATAAAGACATATGACTGCTTTCCATATATCCCTTCATAATATGGAATCGGGCTGCGGTGACGTAAGCAACAGGTTGATTGGAACGTCTCGCGGCCGCCTCAGTGCCTGCAGTTCCACTCTGTGCCCAGCCTGAGCGCGTGCGGTGTGTACCATCCTCACTCTGGGAGCCGCACTGCTGCGCGAGACCGCTCACTGCAGAACGGCTCGTGACTCAGAACGGCGTTTAAAAACTCCAACGGCCGAAAAATAAGGAACCAACGGTTGGACGGAACGGGACGGAGCGTCGGCCATCAGTTACCCGGCAGCTGGTAGGAAACATGTCCGTTAATATCTGAGCTGAATATCTGGCAGACAGCGGCTCTCTCTCAAAGGTTTAGATGGATTCTGCTGAATTTACTTT